AAAAATAAATATTATTTAATTAAAATTGAAAAAAATTATATTTTATCATAAAAAAATTTAAATCGAATAAAAAATTATTTATAGTCCGAAGAAAAAAGAAATTTTAAAATAATTTTCGAAAAAATATAATAAAAATAAAATAAAAGAAAGTTACGAAAATTAAATAAAGAATATATAAATATTACTTAATTAAAATTAAAAAAATTAAGTTTTATCGTAAAAAGAAGAGAATTAAAAAGAATTTTTTTGACAAATCGAAAAAAATTATTTACAATATGAGACAAAACAAATTTAAAAAAATGAAAAAAATTAAATCTCTCCATCTCCGTGGATGGATCTCTCCATTCACATGTATGTAGATGGAATTTCTCTCTATCATGATAAAATTTAACTTTTTCAACTTTAATTATATAATATTTATATATTCTTTATTTAATTTTCGTAACTTACTTTTATTTTGTTTTTATTATCTTTTTTTTAAAAATTGTTTTAAATATTTTTTTATATTATAAATAATTTTTTTTTCGATTTAAATTTTTTTATTCTTTTCGTTTTATAATAAAACGTAATTTTTTAATTTTAAATAAATATTATTTATTTTAATTTTAATAAAAAAATTAAAATAACTTTTTTAAAATTTTTTCACCTATAATTTTTTTCTTTAATTTGTTAAATCATTTAATTTTTTTATTCATTTTGGTCTAAAATAAAAGTTACAAATTAAATAATTTAACAAATTTAGAGTTGTAGAAAAAATAGAAATAAAATTATTATAAATTAAATTGAAATAATTAAAATTGAACAAATTACATTTATCATAAATCAAAGAAAAAATTATTTATAATATGAAGAAACAATAAATTTTAAAACAATTTTCAAAATATATATAATAAAAACAAAAATAAAAGAAAGTTATAAAAATTAAATAAAGAATATATAAATATTATAGTAAAAAGAAAAGAAATAAAAGAATTTTTTTTATAAATCAAAAAAAAATTTACAATATGAAACAAGATATATTTTAAAAAAATAAATCTTTCCATCCATTGATCCCATCGTGTGAAATCTCCATCCACACGCATTTGATCTCTCCATCCACACGCACTATATGAATAATTTTTTTTTAATTTAAAATTCTTTTTAATTCGTTTCCTGATAAAACTTAATTTTTTTCAATTTTAACTAATTACTATTTATATATTCTCTATTTAATTTTCGTAACTTTCTTTTATTTTGTTTTTATTATCTATTTTTTTAATTGTTTTAAAATTTCTTTTTTCTATTATAGATAATTTTTTATTTGATTTAACATTCTTTTTATTCTTTTCATTTTATGATAAAAAGTAATTTATTAATTTTAAATAGATAATTTTTATTTTTTATTTTTTAATTATTTCAAT